TCTCCGACGCTCTTGGGCTCGTTAGAACGAGCGTCCCGAGCTCTTTCTAATGCAACTTCAACCAACTAGATCTACCGTGTATCCCGATCGTTATGAAGGTTTTCCCTTTCCGCGCTAGCGGCGCTTCGCCGAAGGCGCACTCATGGTCGGACGCCTTTAGAGGTCCGGGCCCTTCTCCTGACGTCTTTAGCAAAACCTCCTCCTGAGGTGTCTGCGCCGGAAGCGTAGCTTCCTTATACGCTGGAGGCGCGTGAGTAGAGACACCTCAGAAAAGGAGCTTTTGCCGAAGGCGCCGAAGACATTGGCGTGGGTACATCCGACTACGTGAATCTTTGTGTCCTCGTGACGATCTCATCAATCCACTCTATTTAACGTACCCTTTTCTAACTACAAACACTGCTTCGGTACTAGTTTTCTAAAATTGTTTAAATTCTGCAAAAAAATAAAAAGTGTGTTACCACAAGAGAGATTAAAGTTTGCAGAGGAATCGCAGCCGCGGGCAAGAAGCTTGGGCATAGCGGAGGAGAGTTTGCAAAATTCGATTTCAAGAACGCAATGTCGAAGGCCAATCAGCTGCGGATGATTCCGCTGAAGATTCCGCAGATTGGGCTACGCGCTTTCCAGACCCAGCTGTCTGCGGTGAAGCTCGATTTCCTCCTGTGGGGATGGAATTACGTGTGCCAGGACATGGTGCGTGAATGGCAGAAGGAGAGACATCAACCTACGCGCGGGTTTCGACCGCACGTAGAGCGTTGGATCGTCCAAGATTGAGCTAGGTACTGGAAAGATGTGCGGGAGAAAACGGATATCTCATATTTGATAGCGAGAGCATCAAGGTCACGAAGGAGGAGGAGATTTACTTCGCGACCCTGTTCAAGAGTGCAAAGTCCAGCAAGAACGGGTACATGACCCAGGACTACAAGGATCGCTACCGCAGAAATGTCGCGGTAGCACTTCTCCAACTCTTGCAGCCGCACAGGACCACATACATCACTTCTTGGCAAGTGTGTTTCGTGGAGCTGGCGTTGGTCGGAGCTCTGATTCACTGGGCGCGCATCTTATGGAAGATAACGCGGCAGCATGCGTTTGAGGAGAAGGGGGATCAATCAATCACCTCTCCCCCTTCTTGATCAACTTTTATCGGTCGATGAGTTGCCTAACCGCGACCGAGCGTGTTCAATTTCCACTGCTATTACTCAGCAATCCCGGAAGGTATGTGAAGGATGTAGAGTTCGACACCGACGAGGAAGAGACTCCCGCCTCCACGCCACCAGCTCAACAGAGTGCGAGAAGGGAAACATTCGCAGCGCGAGTGCCGCGGAAGCGGAGATGGAAGGGAGAAGCAGAGAAGGGTCAACATCAAGATTCGGCTGTTCTCAAACGGAAGCGGCCACTGGAGGAGCTCTTAAGTCGGCCGAAGCAGAAAGCACGCAGGCTCATATTGCCTGCAAGTAGCGCGGAGACAGGACAAGCCGCCGGAGAGAAGGAAACACCATCTTCGGAAGAGGATGGGAACACGCGGACGGCTGTAATCATCTTTAGTTAGTTAGAACTAAAGTAGAGGTTACTCTGAATATTGATATAGATACTTTAGTGTGCACTAGTCATAGCTGCCACGTCAGCGATCCGCGCACTTGGTAGGTACAGAGTGGATGTGTTAGTTGACAATGCCACGTCAGCAATCCGTGTGCTTATAGGTAAGGATTGAGTGTGTTAGTTGGGTGCGCCACGTCAGCGATCCGTGTGCTTGTTAGGGTTATCCGCCACGTCATCCATCCACTATGAGTGGGATGGATGGTGGAGATTAGATCTTATCATCTTGTACTTGTTGGTGAGAGCTATATAAGGGAGAGGAGAACCATTGTTGGTATCTCTCATCTTCAGAGTTTACGTTTCTATCTTCGAGTGAACTTCTCTCTAAACCCTAGTGTTACAACGGCAGAGGGGTCAGCGGACCTCCCTACGCCGAAGGCACGGATGCCTTCGGCGGAAGCAAGACGGCCTTCGGGTCAAGAGAGACGACACGCGGCACCGATGAATTTGCCGGCAACGGATAGGAGTTCCGCACGAGCACCGTACGCGGACTCGCCTTCGGGGCTGGGGCCTTCGGCGCAGCGGAGGAAGGGAAAGGAGCCGGCGGAAGATCCGCCTTCGGCGCAAGGGCCTTCGGGCCAAGGAGTTGCGAGTAGGGAGCCTTCGGCGGTAAGTCCGCCGGAAGGTGCGCCTTCGGCTCAAGGGCCTTCGGGCCAAGGGACTTCATGCGAGCCGCCTTGGCGGAAGCACCGCCGACAAATGAGCCTTCGGCGGAGGCATCTTCGGAGCAGGACCTATCAAAGGAGCAAGACTTAACGGAGGAGCGTGATAACAGTCAGAAGGGAGAAACACGTGTGCGCTCCGCACAATTGCAATCCGCACAAACACCTTCTGCACGAACGCCTTCAGCGGTGGACGCCTTCGGCAATGCGGAGTTGGTAGAAGCCGGACGTGCGAGCGGTGCGAGTTTGGCACAACCAAAATCCCCCACCGCCTTAGACATTCTGGCCGGAAGCAGTGAAGCAGCAGCGGCAACAGCGGCAAAAGACGAAGCAGACACTACGAAGCCCCACTCACGAGAATCGCCAGAGAATTCAGTGGCGACCAAAATCCTCAATTCGGAGGATGACGAAGAAGGAGAAACGGAATCGGGATCGGGTGAGGAGGAGGAGCAATCGGTGGCAGGCACGCCGACGGCGGCACTTTGCGAGCAGGTGGTACCTCTGTTGAGGTATCTTGATCGCAAGGTGACGAAGTATGCAGACCCTCGCCAGCCTGGGTCCTACGTCGAGTTAGTGCGTAGGCGGATTGCACTAAAGTCCGCACTAGCAAGTTGTTGGCACGTCTGGATGGGGACATTAAAGATCTGCGGGAGAAGAATGAGTGCCTGCTGGGCCACATTACTCTTACGCGGAAGATGCACCAGGCCGTCGACAAGTTGCGCGATGAGAAACTTGAAGAGGCGACGAAGGAGTTCGCCAAGGAGAAGGCGAAGCTCGCAGATGAGCTGGATTCTGAGTAGACTAAGAATCAAATTTTGTCAGAGGAGCTCATGCGGCAGACACGGTTGCTGGAGCAGTGTCAGCTCGCACGTCAGGTGGATGAAGAGTTAATCTGAAAACTGCAATCAGAGTGCGGGGAATTGAGAGCGCAGCGTGCGGACCCAGAATTGCAGTTAGTAGTAGTTGAAGACGATCGCCGGCGGGAGGCAGATCGCACGAAAGAGGAGTTGGCGAGGCGAGTCAACCAATGTCTCAGAGGTTACAGCCATTGGGAAGTGGCGGCGCAGGAGAAACTCACACTTCGCGAGTTAGAGCTTCGTGCGGCGGGTTTGCTATCAGGTGACAGTCGGAGCCGGCGGCGAGTAGCAAAGAAGTTAGATTCGTTTCTGTCAAGGTCGCGGGACGCCATGGCCACCCTCGAGGCGGAGCTTGCGGCGGTGCTGCGGCGGCTGGGACTGCGCAGTCGAGCGGAAGACTGGGCGGGTAGCGAGTTAGTGCGCGGCAGTCCGTCGCGCAGAAGGCGAAGCACGAGATCTGCAGATTGTAGCGTATCGTGATTCCGTGCAGGCGTGTAGTGTAGTGTTAGTTAGGACTTAGAAGGTATAAAGTAGTTCAAGGCGTCTTGCCTTGGGATTCTTCCAGTTTCGGAAGTGTAGATCGGGAACTCATTTTCTCTGCGCGTTTGTGTCCTTAGTTCTGTCACCGCGCAAGAGGAGCTACAGCTTGGCGATCCGCATTTTGTAGCTGGAGGCCTTCGGCCGAATGTTCAGAGCTAGTGTACTAGTTAGAGACTTGAGTAGTTTGGATCTACACCTGCGGGTGATTGCCAATGCTCAGAGCTAGTCACTAGTTACATACTTGAACAGTTTCCCCCTTACACTTTCGAGTGATTGTTCCTGATTGTACTCCTTTGGGATTTTTCCCCTGAATGCCAAAGTGAAATTTTGTTACTTTGAGTAAGCCTTGGTTGTAATTAAGGTTACGCTGCAGCAGGTGCCCTCAGGGCAACCCCTGTAGTATTTCTGGGAATGACAAGTGCCTAAGAATTCAAACTCTTCAATAGACTGTTATGGTGTGCTACTTGATCTTTTCTCAGTTGAGTCTCTTAGTTGGACATGTGTTCTCTGCGCGTTTTGTGAGTTGAAAGTGTTGTTCACCGCGTGTGAGTGACTTCAATCCAAAGTAGTAAGTCCAATCCGGGTTTTCTGTGCTAGCAGAAACTAGTGGAAGGGTTGTAAAAGCCGGAGTTGGGAGTCACTACCCGCAGATTCGCTGAGTGTACTTGCGAGAGACTTCCCCCCTGAAATCTTAAGTAGATGTCCTAACCGACCTCTGAGTTGTGTTTCTATAGTTTCAGGTGTGTGTGTGTGTTGAGTGAACTACGCTGCACTGTGCGACCTCCGAGTGATCTCCGAGTGGACACTTGCAGTATTTCTAGGAGTGACAGTCGCCTGAGAATTCAAATTCTTCAATAGTCTGTTAAATGTGACACTTTGTACTCTGTGTGTTGCCTCTGTCCCTGTGGGTTCGACATTTCTACCACTATATTGCAATTTTAGCTTGTAATAACCCACCAAAGGATGGGTTATTACAAGCTATTTGCTGCTGTGTATGCCTACAATTTGGCATACAAGTCATCATAGGTCACACCCCTTACTACCTGGTGTTTAAACAACATTCTTTAGTTCCAATCGAATTTGAGGTCTCTTCCTTAAGGGTCAGCGTGGAAGAAAGAATGTCTGCAGATCAGAGTTTAAGGGAGAGGGAATATGCTATAGAGAAGCTGGAAGAAACGAGGGTGGAGTCAACAGTCTCCCTAAAACGTCAACAAGCAAACACCAAGAAGTCTCATGACAAAAAGTTGAAGCCAATTCCTTTGGCAATAAGTGACCTGGTTTTACTCTATGACTCTAGATTTGTTCACTTCCCTGGTAAGCTCCACACTTGTTGGCTAGGACCGTATGTGGTGCAGATAATTTTTCCAAATGTTTATACACAAAGATTTCAAAGATCTAGATTTCCATATACTGAAAGATTTCAGAGATTTGATTTCTCTGCGCAGTACCCTACCTATTAGGTTTCTTGATAACATGAACTCATCCTCATTGCGACGATAGAGGTCAAGCTCCACTAGGGGAACCTTGACTTCGGAGCTAGCAGCACACGCAAGAGCTTCTATTGACTCACATTCAAACGTTTCAAAATCAAACCAAATACTCAAGTATGTTGTTGTAGCCTTGTCACGTATGACTTCGCCGAGCTGGTGCCATTCCTCAGGACTCATCTTTACGCCCTCCAACGTCACTGCCTTCAATGATGGGTTGGAGGTTAGAACTTCCGTTAAACAGCCTCCGAGTCCATCCATCCTCCCCAGCCGAAGACGTTCAATGGATCGGTTGCCATCATCTCCGGCCAAAGCTTTCAGCAACAAGGCCGCTCCCCACTCCACCTCGTCTAACTCCAATTGTTTCAAAGACGACCTTTGAATCAAAGCCTGGGACAGGATTCCAACGTACTCGTCCTCCATGGCTCCCATATGGCCTAACGTCAACGTTTCTAATCGAGGAGCACTGTTGATCATGTCGGCCACATGCTTCCCACCCTCCCCATAAGTGTAAAGACTGGAGTTTAGAATCGGAATTTCCTCGAAATCCTGAGGCGAGATTCAAGAAACATCTGGCAGAAGTGTATATTCAATACTTGTACGCTAGAGGAATTCAGAATTCTCCCTATCTGTAAACAAAAGCTCTCCTCTTCCTCATCTGAAATCCAGGTTGAGACCTGGATTTCAAGGGAAAAGTGAAGGTTTATCACTTTTATAACGGTGCTAGACACGAATCCTCTGAGAACTACCTCCCACTCGCTTGCCGTCAACATCGACATATCTCCCCGACAAATATTAAGAAACTCTAGATTCTCAAGGGTGTTGCAGTTGCCGATTGCCTCCAGCACTCGAAGGCGCACTTTGCTTCGCCACCCTGCGATCGTCGAGAGCGATGCCCGCTCCGGAAAGAACTCCAGAAAATCTGGCTATCGTAAATAGAGAAACGTCGTGATAGGCTCGCCTTTTCCTTCCAGACGCCATATAAGGTCCTGGACAGCGAAGGGAAGCTCCGGTTCCTCGTCTGCAGAGTCCATTCCCCGTGTCTCAACAGCGTGACTGACTATGGACGCACCTGCACCTTCCATTCTCTCCTCCACTCCTCCACAGAGTAAGAAACGTTTGCTGCTTGGCATGCGCGAGCGAAATGTCACCTGGCCTACAGGAGGCCTCCTCCTCGATCCGAAGGACCTGCTCACCCGAAGAGCACTAACTTCCCGTCGTAGTGTCACAACTTGGGGTCATGTGCGTGTTGAGCATAACACTTCTTGCACTCTGCAGAGGAGACACACAAAGATTAATCTTACCTCTGCAAACAATCGGATCAAGAGCAATCACAACGAACGCAGGGAGATTGCGCAAACTGGAAGTAAGAGCTTGTTCGGACTCACTGCAGGGCAAGACAAGCTATGTGAATCAAAATGAACACAAATAACCACTATTTCGATTCTAAATCAAATTCTAGAGTTTGTGCAAAGGGGACTTCAAACCTATTGTGAAGTCGAGCGGAAAGAGCTGGTTGATTTGCACTGGTGACCCAATTGAGTGGACAAGCTCGAAGCTCTGCAGGTGAATCTGAAATCCAAAAAACTGGTTCGTAACAAAGATGAAGCTATGTGGTCTCAGAATGTCATGGAAAGCATGGAATCTCAGATATTAAAGATGTGAAGTACTCTGCCTTGTGTAAAACTCCAGGTCTAATTGGACGGGGAAAATGCGAATCTAGCTGGACATGGAGAACGCAGAGAATGCGAATCTAGCTGCATCAACACCCACGGGGAAGACAGACCCTCCGAAGTGTAGCGCGTAGAAATTTGCAGCTTAATCATCAGATCTTCTCTTTAGATTGTGGATGATCGAGGTCAAGACAACATACGAACACAACAACCGTGGTCCTCCATACTCGGTGTGATTGGAAAGTTTTCTTAGAAAGTCAAAGTAAATCTTGACGTTGTTGTGCAAGCGAACGTGATAATTGAGTGAATGCATCAGTGCGCTGATACACGCGATGTCGTCACGCTGAAAACAGAGATTTCAATCGTCATCTTCATTGAATGCTTTTTCCTGGAATCTGTGGCCTATTCAAGCAAGTTGATGTAGTCTGACAACTGAGAGGCACATGGGCAGTCATGGGTAGTCAGCACGGTGGACAAAGCCTGTTGTTCTTTTTTCTTGCTTTGAAGATGCGGACAGAAGGCTGCATTACTCTACTCAACTCGTAGGTTCAGAACAAACTGATAAACGTTTTGGATGTGTACTAAACATCATGTCGAAGAACTGTGTACAGAGTATACGAATACTCGAGGTTCTCAACTGCTGGTATGGTTGTTCTTTTTCAGGTCGTATAAAATCCGACAGAACCAGCATGATACTTGCTAAGGTCAACGTCAATCCTCTCAAGAATTTACATTTTTCGAACTTGGTTGCAAGTGAAGAAGAACTGTGTTGTATACATGAGATGAAAAACATATCATATGATTAATGTTAGGCAACAATGAGTCATGACTTGAGAATGAAGATCTTGTTAACGTGTGAAGGAGAAGACAAACATACATTAATACTCAAATATTTGATATATATAAACTAAAACGAAACAAGGCATACTGTAAATTTTGCACTCCTGTGCTCATATCATAAATCAAATGAGAAAATTAGAGCACATTACTCACCCGATAAAATCGCTGACACGCAACAGTGTGAATTATGTCTTCAGTTTTCTCCCTTTTTATTCACCTTAATTTTGTTACAAAATTTGAAATTGTGATTATATACCTTTCTGTAAGATGTCTAGTATGCTTTGCATCTTTATTTGATAATACTTCCTATCTCAAAATGATAACTCATGAAAAAGCTCTTGTATTTTTTATGGGACAGGACATTTTTCAACAAAAATAACAGCATTATATTTTCATAAGAAATCTTAATTGCCTTAACTTTATATTTCTGCTGTTTTAGTTTTTTTATATTTTTGGCGCTTTGATTCTTCGGCTGTTTTATTTAGATGTATCTCGAAGAATAATCTAACCTAATTGATCTCTTATAATATAAATCCACTTATGAAATATATGTAAATGAGTTTACGATCTTTTTAGCAAGGTTTGATCCACGAGGTGATCATTACATAGTAAATAAATTTTTTAAGTGTATATCAACATACTTACACACACCAACTTTCTTTATGTGTTTAACCCTAAAGGGATAAAAAGATGATGAGAAAAATCATTTGAGAATATCTAATAATGATTCATTCCCTAGTTTGTCTCTCATTAAGGTTAAAATGCAGTTATATATCCCCCAAAAAATAACATTTTTTGAAATAATTACAAACAGCTTGGAACTCAATTTTACTTGACAAGTTATTATTTTGCTATTTTGTTCCCATGTCATCCCACCATGGTTACCGCCCAAAAATCTTGGATTTTGCAAGTGTACATTTATGTACTTCTAGAATTTTACTAAAGTGTTAGGTTGATACTCAACTATTGCATTCACATAGTTAGTTGAAACTCTTATTTGATAGTTTTGGAGGAATTGCTTTTGCTCACAATAGCGTAGACATGGAAATGTCTTGCACTCACTCACTCGTTTCGCATTGACTTTTAGTATAACCTCTTCTAGCAAATTCGCATAATATTTTTTATTTTTAAGTGGTCCACAAATTTAAACATATCTTAAAATTTGTTTCATCTCAATTGAAAATTGTTAAGTTTACTACTTTTTACTTCAATCCACTGAAGATGCTAGGCTGGCCAATTTAATACTTTGTTTAAGACTAAGTTCTCACACAAAGTATCACATTGCTAACAAGTACAAGGCAGAAGACAATGGCTTGACTGCAGAGTCAAATTGAATTACGCCACCTGCTCCTTCTCTTCGATTTGAATACGCATATAGAGAAAACTCCAGCTCAGTTGAATATGCAAGCCTCTTTTTTCTTTTGGCGTCTTCACTGCATCTGATGCACACAAGAGTAACGTGTACATTGGAAACCGGTATATGACGATTGGTGATTCATTAGTCTGACCGCATGCGTGAAAACGAAGTTTTGAACATGAAACTACGCAGCTTGTTCTCATCTTCTGCAAATCCTACACAATTTTAAAGAGCATAACCGCTTGCCAGGTTGCTTTTCAGATCTCTCCTAGAATCACGGAGTATCCTGTCCGGCTACACAATTTTCAAGAGGATAACCACGTGGCAGTTTGCTTTTCAGGTCTCGTAGAATCACGAAGTATCCTGTCCGGCTACACAATAGTCAAAAGCATGACCGCGTGCCAGACTGCTTTTCAGGTCTCTCCTAGAATCACGAAGTATCCTGTCCGGCTACAGTTATGGGTAAGTACTATCAAGTTTATGGGTAGGAAAACAATAACAAATAATTGAGTATAATAAAAAAATAACAGAATTGCAGATATTACCACAAGTACGATGTTCATGGGTAATTGAGAATGATTCTTCAGAATGCTCTCAAACACCTAACATCGCCAAAGTGAATTCTACCAGCATCTCTTAAGCACAACGTGACTGCTGTCTTGATGCTTGTTCCTCTGGATTGCAGCGTATGGGTCTCAGGAAGAAATTATTCACCATGTGGGTATGAATGAAGAGTTATGACGCTGCTGAGTTCGATAGAATTCGATGTTCTTTGTTTGCTCGCAGTTCAGAGCCAGTCCGTAGGATGCTGAAGGAAGATTGAAGAGCTAACTCCGAGTATCATTCCGCGAGAAAGATGGAAGATCCATTCATCTTGGAGAATATTTGGAGCTTCCAGATAGCCAGAGGTCTTCAAGATATTCTAAATTTGAGAAAAATAACATATAATAATTTAATTTGGTTTATATTTCTAATCTCGGATAGTGGCATGACGGAATTCTTGACTTGAAGTGAGTGGTCGGATTTGGTATGAGCTGTCTCCCTACGTCTACTGCTTGCAAAGGAATCTTGAGTATTTGTCATTTCCTCCCAAACTTCAGTTTCCTATTTATCCTTAAGTCCTAATGTTAAGGTAAGACTTCGAAGTATCTTTCATATTTCCTAGGGAAATAAAATTGCGAAAAATTGTGCATTTTTTTAAAGAAGTGTGCATAATAGGCGTCCATTTAGTGGTCACCTTTTATGCATTATGCCTCTTGTGTGTCCCTTTAGTGGACACAAAACACATCAACTCTTTGTATCCAGCCAAAGTTGCAATCTGATTCTTGATAATTTCATTCTCAACTCAAAACTCCCATTGCACAAGAAGTTGAAAGTCCTTTGGGATCATGAAAAACAGACACAGGTTTAGCAAGAACAGAGAAGAGTATGGAAGAGTGAGAGTGGTAGACGAGACAGCTGAGCAACTTCTTGTGCAATTGAAGTTTTGAGGTGTAGATAGATTTTTCAATACTCAGATTGCAACTTTGGGTGGAAATGATGAATTACAAAGAAAGGATGAGTTATCAATTTTCCGAGTTGTTTCTATTGTAACTTAAAAGTACAATCAGATCATTGGAAGGCCGGGTTGAATTTGGGAGGCATGATGAGGGTCTACGGAAGACATTTTCTGTGCAGGTGAATGTCCTCGGATGATCCTTGGCGTTTCATCAGCTGCAATGAATAAGATGCTTATTACCGGTCTGCACCAATGTTAAGCCCTCCCAATAGTTTCAAGGAATTATAGGCCAAAACATGTTCAAAATAACTAATTTAACCGTCCAAACGGGGAACTAAAATTTAAAGCTTAAAAGTTTGTGCACAAACTGCATTGACAATGAAATATTTCATCCTCATTATAAATAGATAATTTTATTACACATACATTATATAATTCATTTCTATACTGAAAGAAATTGATGCCGCTACTATGATTTCTCATCCTCAGTAACACATGAGACCCATGAGAGATTATAAATATTTGTTTGTGTGGAAGGCAGAAATTTATATCAGGAGCTTCGTCATCCTCGCCGTGACTGTGTACCTTCTGGTGACCAATCTGAAACTTAGGGAGGTTCTCACAAAACGTTCTCAGGAGACTAGGAGCTGATTCCATCGGATCAGCTCTGCGATGGAAGAAGAGAGCGTCGTCGACCGAGCAGCAACCGGCAACAGCCGGTGAGCGTCGACTCACAAACGCCGACGTGTTCGCTCTTCCACGCAATGGCCTCAGTCGGAAGCTTGCAGGAAACAATCCTCTGAATGGGTGCTTAGATAAATGCCTCTACACGAGTCACCATTCAACAAGCTCCTCGTCTCTTCCACTCGCAACCCTCTTGCGTGGTTGGTGCCATTGAAACGATCGGGCAGTACAGTTCAGCTTTAAGAGAGTTCAGCTACTCGCACTCAAAAATGTTGAAACGCCTCTAAATGGCACAAAGACCCCTTGGCCCAGACTTCCTGAAAAGTGGCATTTTCTCTAAAAGTGTCACTTTTGCCACAATTAAATTTGGGTCGATGTCACAATTAAGCCTTTGAGCCCGTGTTTAGTGTTTCTGAGCGATTGTGTACAGAAATCCAAGTAAGCCATGATCACCTGATGGATCTAATTTTCGAAAGAAAACAGAATTACATATATGGCGAAAGTTTTTTACAATTCTAATTCCAGAATATTCTGGGTATGAAACCGAGTTTTTCTCCTTAGGATTGAAGACAGGTGATATCACTCTAATGCCAGAATATTCTGGGTATGAAACCGAGTTTCTCTCCTAGGATTGAAGACAGGTGATATCACTCATCTTCGGATGAGGTTTTGAGGAGGAATACAGTTCACGTCTCCTGGATTTTGGAAGTTGTCACTGTTCAGTTGAAGCCTAGTATCCTCATCGTTAGGATCACGGACTTCTAATTCATTTCTTCTCACGGACTGGCACCAGGGGCGGAGGATTTTTCTGGGGGGGGGGGGGGGGGGGGGGGGGGCTACCCGCCAATTTCCAATGAAAATTCTTTCTCGATATCGTTTTCACATTCTGTAACTCATAATCTGTGTAGACCATTCCTGGGCTTGGGGGAGGCATGCCCCCCCTGCCCCCCCCAAGCATCCTCACCGTGAATAATCATGCGGCCCGTTCATGGAATCTTCTAGATTCATGGCTTTAGGTGGCCGATGAATAACATGAGGGCGGAACCTAAGTTAACCAAAACAGAGAAACCACCCTGCCTGGCATGCACTGTGTTTGAAAATAGGATAGTTTGCAAGCATACCTCTTCCCCTGCTTTCACATTAAGACCATTTTGTCCATAAGTGCGTGAGTTTATGGTGGCCAATAATAATCCTACTTTTGGAATATTTGTTTTCAGCTCAGGTTCAAACTTCAACTGCAAAATTGAGATGCCTTTGTCAGAAACTTACACGATTTATCATCATAGTTCCGAAACGATTCACATGTTCAATGTGTTTTAAAAATCAAGCGACAAAATCAAGGTCATACAAGACGGGTCAGACCTCTATTGAGCCGACATTGGTTGCGCCAACAGCTGCCATAGCCATGAAGCCCTGCGACCATCTACCTTCTAATACCACCTGGTTGAAAAAAATTGGGTCAGAGATAATAAAATGATAAATGAAGTGGTTCTCGATGAGGAATGAAAACTACATCAACCCAGTAGCACTTCAAAATTACAATTGGTAACTTTAGTAGCACAATGTTCGTATGAATGCAAAACCTGAATTTGTCTCAATCAGCATCTAGTAAAACTGAGCGAAGCACAACAACAAACCATCCGAATTTAAAAATTCGTTGACAGCCCTAGCCTCTTCCTCTGTTTTCGGAAGGGAATCTTCGTTCAAAGTGGATCAGTTGCACTACGACAGTTGACTGTCCTTGTCTCGACCCCATTTGTCTACATTCGGATGTTGAAATGAACGATGCTGCTCATATTCTCACCGAAGGCACGATCTTTTACATTTCTAGAAAAACTTTTTAAAACTAGGTTGGATTAAAGGAACCCATTGAACTTGAGATATAAGCGCTACTGCACCTCCTTACTGCATTATATTATTGAACAGTCATGGCATAATTCCTTGATAGCAATTTGCATTTCACATTAAGATCTATAAGATATTCAGCTTTCATTGAGACCAAGAACAATTCATACATCTATATTGATAAGAATCCATCTCTTTCCAATTTGCACAGAAACGACAAACAACTGCACAAGATTGTAATCTCACTCCTCTACACGCACCACAACTGCCACATAATGAAGTTCAGAGACACCTACCAGCACTGCTGAAGGTGCTAGAAGTAGGAGTAGTCATCCGAAGAAACGATCGAGAGAGCATGAATTTGGCAATAAGTCAAAGATGACCCTCGTCACACTTCTGCAGTTGGTAAATTCAACCCCAAATCCTGAATAGACGGCAGTAAGTTAGGTGAAGAAATACGCAGCTTCAGGCAATTGAAAGTGCATCAGCTCAGCGTCAGGATGCGACGAAGCTCGTAATCATCATCATAGAGAAAATCTCCTTGAGCGTGATTACGCAGCGTAGCTCAAGTGAGGACATCTCAAACAGAGCAGGAAAGTTGAAGGCAGAAACTCGCGAAATTTTTGTGACTCTCCTAGCCAGCGGGATCTTGAGGCCCGTGTAGAAATATTGCGTTAGGGAACGTCATCCAGGTCGAAAACCCAGAACCCAGTGAGGGTGATATAATTATTAGTAAAGAATCACTTAATGAATTAGTACAAATTACACTCCGAGGAAAACAAAGGCAGAGACTATGAATTACATGTTTCAAACATGTAATTCATAGTGTATACTGAATACACATGTAATTCTGAATACACGTATTGGTGGGCACATCTCGAGTATCGGTTCCGAAGTCAATGGGGCGGGCAGCATCTTGCTCGGATGAAATGGTTCAGTGCAAGGTGCCCTGAAGTGAAAGGGCATAGGAGAAGCAAGAATTGCATGTGCTGGATATTTGTAATAACCCACCAAAGGCTACAACTACACTATAGCAGCAAAATGTCGAACCCACAGGGACACAGTCAACACACAGAGTACTAATGTCACGTTTAAACATACTATTGAGGAGTTTGAATTCTCAGGCTACTGTCATTCCCAGAAATACTGCAAGTGCTCAACTCGGAGGTCACTCGGAGGATGCACAGTGCAACGTAGTTCACCCCAACACACACCTGAAACTATAAAAGCACAACTCAGAGGTCGGTTAGGACCTCTACTTAAGGTTCAGGGGGAAAGTTTCTCACGAGTACACTTAGAGGATCTGCAGGTAGTGACCCCCAACTCCGAATTTACAACTTCGTCACTAGTGTAATAACCCACCAAAGGCTAAAACTGCAGTATAGCAGCAAAAAGATCGAATCCACATGGACAGAGGCAACACACAGAGTACAAAGTGTCACGTTTAACAGACTATTGAAGAGTTTGAATTCTCAGGCGACTTTCACTACCAGAAATACTGCAAGTGCTCAACTCGGAGGTCACTTGGAAGACGCACAGTGCAGCATAGTTCACCCCAACACACACCTGAAACTGGAAAAGCACAACTCAAAGGTAGGTTAGGACCTCTACTTAAGATTCAAGGGGAAAGTTTCTCACGAGTACATTCAGAGTGTCTGCAGGTAGTGTTCCCCAACTCCGGATTGTTAACTCTGACTGCTAGAGCAAAGCACCCGGGTTGGACTTCCTACTTCAGATGCGGTATCTTCGTCAAACCGAAGTCACTCACACGCGGTGAACAACACACTCAACTCACAAAACGCGCGGAGAATACAGGTCCAAACTGAGAAACTCAACTGAGAAAAGATCCAGTGTCACACCATAAAAGTCTATTGACGAGTTTTAATTCTCATGCACTAGTAATTTCCATAAATACTATGGAGGTTTGCCCCGAGGGCGCCTTCTGCAGCGTAACCTGAATTACAACCAAGGCTTACTCGAAGTAACAAAACTTCACTTTGGCATTGAGGGGAAACATCCCGAAGGAGTACAAACAAGAACAATCACTCGAAGGTGTAGGGACGAACTGTTCAAGTATCTAACCAGTTACTAGCTCTGAGCATTCAGCAATCACCCGCAGGTGTAGATCCAAACTGCTCAAGTATCTAACCAGTACACTAGCTCTAAACATTGGGCCGAAGGCCTTCAGCTACAAAATGCGGTATCTTCGTCAAGCTGTAGCTCCTCTTGTGCGGTGACAGAACTAAGTACACAAACACGCAGAGAAAATGAGTTCGTGATCTGCACTTCCAAAACTGGAAGAATCTCAAAGCAAGACGCCTTGAACTACTTTAAACCCTTGTTCGACACGCTCGTTCTAACGAGCCCAAGAACGCTTGGAACGGATAACAGATCAATGAGTTATGAGTGTCGGAAGTTACTAATAGGGAGGGCCTTCGGGTCAACGGACTTCGGCTCAAGCGCCTTTGGGGCAAGGGCCTTCGGCAGTAGACGCCTTTGGCGCCACGTGGCAGAAGATTCCCGATGGCGGAAATTGGCGGGATTATGTCTAGTGTGGGAAGCAGAACAGCGGGGCGTGAAGTCGCGCGTGAGGAGCAGGCCGTTACCCATAATCGCGGGAACGGCATTCAAGCGGCATGTGGGTCCCCCGGACCTCAGATTTTGGAGAAGGAATTTCGGCCTATGGTTCAGAGATCTTGCGGGGCCCATATCTTTGCGATGGACAATTGGATGGACCTGAAATTTGGCGGGGCCATTGGTCTCAGCCCGCCACGCATGCTTGCAAATTTTCAGCTGCAGATCTTGGATCTACAGCTGTTAAAGACGCTGGCGGCTCTGTACAGTAGGCTTAGGATTCAGATTTAGGGTTAGGGTTAGATTTAGGTTGTAAGTTAGAGGTAAACGCAGCCGCCGACTCCTTAGGTGTAGGATCTGTTGCAGCTTGCACCATAGCAGGTAGAGTAGTGTTAGTTAGTATCTTAGAAGGTATAAAGTAATTCAAGGTGTCTTGCCTTGGGATTCTTCCAGTTTCGGAAGTGCAGATCAGCAACTCATTTTCTCTGCGTGTTCGTGTCCTTAGTTCTGTCACCGCACAAGAGGAGCTACAGCTTGACGAAGATACCGCATTTTGTAGCTGAAGGCCTTCGGCCCAATGTTTAGAGCTAGTGTACTGGTTAGATACTTGAGCAGTTTGGATCTACACCTGCGGGTGATTGCTGAATGCTCAGAGCTAGTAACTGGTTAGATACTTGAACAGTTCGTCCCTACACCTTCGAGTGATTGTTCTTGTTTGTACTCCTTCGGGATGTTTCCCCTGAATGCCAAAGTGAAGTTTTGTTACTTCGAGTAAGCCTTGGTTGTAATTCAGGTTACGCTGCAGAAGGCGCCCTCGGGGCAAACCTCTGTAGTATTTCTGGGAATGACTAATGCTTGAGAATTCAAACTCGTCAATAGACTGTTATGGTGTGCTATTGGATCGTTTCTCAGTTGAGTCTCTCAGTTCGGACCTGTATTCTCCGCGCGTTTTGTGAGTTGAGTGTGTTGTTCACCGCGTGTGAGTGACTTCGGTTTGACGAAGATACTGCATCCGAAGTAGGAAGTCCAACCCGGATGCCCTGCGCTAGCAGAAACTAGTGGAAGGGTTGTAAAAGCCGGAGTTGGGAGTCACTTCCTGCAGAGCCTCTGAATGTACTCGTGAGAAACTTTGCCCCTGAAATCTCAAGTAGAGGTCCTAACCGACCTCTGAGTTGTGCTTTTCCAGTTTCAGGTGTGTGTTGAGTGAACTACGCTGCACTGTGCGTCCTCCGAGTCACCTCCGAGTTGAGCACTTGCAGTATTTCTGGTAGTGACAGTCGCCTGAGAATTCAAACTCTTCAATAGTCTGTTAAACGTGACACTTTGTACTCTGTGTGTTGCATCTGTCCCTGTGGTTTGACCTTTTTGCTGCTATATTGCAGTTTTAGCCTTTGGTGGGTTATTACACTTCGACAAGCTGTAGCTCCTCTTGCGCGGTGACAGAACGAAAGACACAAACGCGCAGAGAAAACGAGTTCCTGAAATGAACTTTCGAAATTGGAAAATCCCCCAAGGCCAACGCCTTGAACTACTTTATACACTCTAAGATCCTAACTACCTAACACTCTACTCTACACTTCATCTGCTATGCCTCCTATGCGAAGGTGACTACGCACTAACTCCCTACCCGTCCAATCGTCTGCTCTCCTGTGCAGTCCAAGCCGCCGCAACACCTCGGCCAACTCTGCCTCGAGGTTCGCAATGGCGTCTCGCAACCTCGAGAGGAATGACTCCAACCGCTTCGCCACGCGCCGCCGGCTCCGACTGTCACCAGACATCAAAGCTGCCGCACAAATCTCCATCTCGCGCAAGGTCATTCTCTCCCGCGCCACAATCTCCCAGCGAGTATAACCTCTAAGACACCTGTCAACTCGCGCTACTAACTCCTCCCGCGTGCGATCTGTCGCGTGCCGGTTATGGCCTTCAACTTCCACCAACTGTAACTCCGCCTCCGCACGCTGCGCTCTCAATTCGTCGCACTGCGATTGCAGTCGACCCAGTAACTCCTCGTCGGCCTACCGTGCGATCTCACTCTGCTCCAGCAACCGCATCTGCCGCACGAGCTCCTCTGCCAAGATGCGATTTTGAGCTTGCTTAGAATTGAGATCCGTCTCGATCTTTGCACGTAGATCTTCAATCTCGCGTTGGGCATTGGCCGCCACATCATCTCGCAGCTCAAGCGCTTTCTTCTGTAGTTTCCGTGAAATGGTAAACTGTTCCTGCAGGAAATCGTATCGCTCCTCCAGCTGCCAGTACTTCTGGTCCAGGGCTATCAACTCGAGATTCTTTGCTGCCTTGATCCGAGTCTGATTCCTGACCAACTTAACGTAGGATCCACGATGGCGGGATCCGCGTACTTGGTCGCCTTGCGATCAAGGTACCGAAGTAGTGGTACCACCTGCTCGCAGAGCACCCCGGTCGGTGTACCTCGCACCGACTCCATTTCCTCTTCCTCCGAAGCCGTGTCATCCTCGGTGTCGAGGATCTCTGTCGCCGCATAAATCCTTGGCGATTCTCTCGAGCTGAGTCGCGCAGCTTCTTTTGCCGCGGCCTCCGCTCCACGTCTTGCTAATACCTCCAAAGGGGTGGGAGAACTTGCTCCCTGTGGACCTGTGTCACCTACCCAAACTGCTACCGCCAAAGGCGTTTGGGCCGAAGGCACACATGTCTCCTTCTTTCTGCCTTTGTCCGCCGTAATTTGCTCCAGGTGCTTCTACGCCGAAGGCGCTTGGCCCGAAGTCCGTTGAGCCGAAGGCTCTTGCGCTGAAGGCTAGTCATCAAAGGGTACTTGCTCGGAAGGCAAGCACTTCTCCATCGCATGCATGTTGGCCGTTGCCGCATGCCGTCTTCCTTGGCCCAAAGGCACACACGCCTTCGGTGCAGGGAGATCCGCTGAACTCCCAAGAACTTCTGCACTCACATCCTCCTCTGAGGAGAGTGAGTCTCTCGTGACCACGGCTCACCCTTTGTCCGCGCTGCTCGCCGGCAGAACTAGCTTGAGTGCCTTCTGCTTTGGTCGGCTTGCGGGCTCGTTGTTCGCCCGACGCCTAACTAGAGCAGTGGGCACTTTCCTCTGGCTCTGGTCCGCCTCTCCATCCCACTTCCGCTTCCGGGGTGCTCGTGCTCCTCGCGGTTCGTCATCCGCTCTTGGTCGAGCTAGTGGTGTGCTGGTGGGCGCTTCGTCGGGGTCAGTGTCAACCTCGACATCCTTCACATACCTGCCCGGATTTGTTCGTGACAGCAAGGGAAATTGTACCCGCTCCGTTGCTGTCAAACATCTCATCGACCGATAAAAATTGATCAAAAAGGGTGAGAGGTGATTGATCGATCCCCCCTTCTCCTCCTGCGTGTGCTGTCGCGTGTCCTTCCACAGAATCCCAGCCCAATGAATCGGAGTTCTTGCCAACGCCAGCTCCACAAACCCCACCTGCCAAGATGTCATGTAGTTGGTCATGTGCGGCTGTAAAATTTGGAGTAGTGCTATCGCGACATTCCTCCGCTTGCGGTCCTTGTAGTCACGGATCTTGTACCCGTTCTTGCTCGACTTGCAGTTCTTGGAAAGTGCACCAAAGGAAATTTCTTCTTCCTTCGTGACCTGCACACTCTCGCACTCGAATAGGAGGTCGCCTTCCTCTCTCGCGCACCTTCCCAGAACCTGCTCCCAATCGCTAACTTGCCATCTCTCCAGGTGCGGTCTATAACCTCGCGGAGGTTGGTTCCTCTCTCGCAACCACTCCCGGACCATCGCCGGGCACACCCAATTCCATCCCCACATAAGGAAATCAAGCTTCACTGCCATCAGCTCGTCTTGAAATGCGCGCAAACCGATCTGCGGCACTCTTAGTGGGACCATCCGCAGTTGAATCGACTTTGCCATTTGGATTCGCGGAAATCCCTCCGAGCTCCAGCTTCTGCTGCCGCGCACTCTCCGTGCAAATTCGCTCTGTAACTCTCTCGGCAAACTTTCCGCAAGCTCTCCGCAAATTCACTATCGACAAACTCTCCACAAGTTCTCTTCGAATTCTCCTGCTGCGCGTCGCGAGCTTGAGCAAATGCCAAATTGAAAATGCGAGAGTGAGTCTCTTCCTTCGGCGATCAAGATTTCTCATCGTTTGACATTTGGGCTGGCTGCGGCCCGCTTGAATGCTATGCCGGCGCGGAGGCGTAACGGTCTGATTCGCACGCGCGAATTCACGCTTCGCCGTTGCGCGGACTCCCACACTTGTACATTCAATCTTGATCCCGCTGATTTCCGCTGACGCCGTTCTCCGTCCGCGTACCGCCGAAGGCGCTCGTGGCGAAGGTACAGGCTTCTGCCGTTTTCTATGTCCTTTCTTCTTCCGCCGAAGGCACATACTAGAGGCGAAGGCATTGCCTTCCGCCAAAGGCGAAACCTAACGACGAAGACGGCGCTAGTGCCGAAGGCGCTGGGTCGAAGGAATCTACCGCCGAAGGCGTACGTAAGGCGTGAGTGCGGTACGAAGTACGTAAGGCGGTCGTTTCCCTTCGACGAAGGCGTTCCGTGTCGCATGCTTCGTACGTCTTCAGCGGAAGCTCCTCTGCAGTGGTCTGAGCCAAAGGCACTTGCTTCAACTTGCGCCGAAGGCCCTTGAGCCGAAGACCCCTCAACAAAGGAGCTTTTGCCAAAGGCGCCGAAGGCGCTTTCCCTAGCAGGAATCGTCCGTTCGGTCCAAGGCGCCCGACCTCGGCCTAAGCCCCCCAACTCCTAGATTCTCCTAGATCCCGGATTCTTCCTTTTTACTCTATTGTTGCGTACCGGTTATTACTATTTACAGCTGCTACCGCGGTACTTATTTCTCAAAAATGTTTTAAGTATGACAAAAAACAAAAAATTTGTTAACACAATATTTAAGATGATTCAGGACCCCATGCACTGAGTAATAGCATCAACTTTATCTTCTCCATCCCGAGAGCATCGGGGAACACTTGATGTAATTAAGGTGAGCTTCACTCCTGAGTCCTACACCCATTGGACGCTGTAAGTAAATGATCAGGTGAATGAACCGCAGTGCCCTAAGTCCGAGTGACTTGTCCCAGCTCGATGTGATTGGAGTGACTTGTCCCAGCTCGATGTGATTGGAAAACTCGGAATCCGCCCGAGGTCGACGACCTTTGGCTAGTCTGGCCCCGCATGATGCCATGATTGACTTCCCCCTCTCGCCAGGCAGGCATCGAAGGTCCGGGCACACCGAAACAACGCCATGCCATCTCCCCGATCCCTGTCAACGTCGTCCTGCAGCGAATCGGAGCAACAGCTGCTTGTGCAAAACCCATGCCGGACTTTGACAGTGACGAGTCTAACAGAAATCAGGCCTGCTCCAGCTTCCAATGCACGCAGCCGTAAACCAGAGGCGACGAAGCCGAACGGAGGTCCAAGAACAACCCACTTTCGAGCCATACAGAATTTCATTCTCATACAATAATCTAGATCTGTCATGATTGTCACCTTCGGAGCATCATGCGCGCACATGTACCGGCCGTGAGATAGATAGGAAAGGCCCGCCCCCGTCAGCGGACGAAAATTTTCCGTAAACTTTCCAGATCAGAATCCCGAATGGTTCACATATTCTCGGACTTGTTCCCAAGATTTCGCCATGAGTCGAAGGCGGCTCTATAATGATTCTCGGGGGTAACTCCCTTGAGAGAATCAAAAGAAGAGTTTGTCCTGTTACTTGTGCTGTAATTTGTAAAAGAGTACAGAACATTCGATTGGCCGTAGAAATTTCGACAGTGTTAAGGACGAGCAAAAAACAAGTTTCACCGTCGGAACACGATGTTCTACTTCCTATGCTCGACACAGGTCCTGCAGATGGGGAGGAGGAATCCAGGTTAGAATATAAGAGGCAGAAAACATATATATTATGAATGAGCCTTCAAAGACCACTCATGGCGAAATAAGAAAAAAAGAGAGAGAGGGAGAGAGAGGACGAGAGAGAGAGAGAGTGTGAGTGAGTGAGTGAGTGCGTGAGAGAAATCGAGCACAATGGCCAGAGCACTGAAGATGAGCCAAGTTTGTGGAGATCCTTATGAGGTTGTGAGGCTGATCCACGTAGAAAAGCCGAAACCAGGTCCAGGTGAAGTGTTGGTACACATTATGCTTAGGACTGTCAATCTTTATGATCTGCTCTGCGTACGTATCGGACACCGACCTGTTTCTGAGTTTAACGGAGCTGCCTACAATCCAGGCCCCGGAACAGAGAATGGTGTCATTCCTGGAACCGAAGGATTCGGTTTAGTCGAGGAGGTGAGAAACCACCCGCTATAACATCGGTGACGTTGTGTGCCCTCAGTTCAATCGGTTCAACAGATGGGACTTCTAGGTATCGACTACACCGATTTCAGGACCAAAACACCGAACATTAGGAGCACTGCCCGGCTTTCCGTCTTTGCACATTCTGAACCTTGCAGTCTGTAGCCTTGTGTGCTAGAATCAACGGGGGGAGACAGATCTGTGCATAAGAGCCCGCTTCCTATTTAAATGTCCATCCATATCTAACTCGTGACTCTAGGGACCAGAATTGGATGAGGAAGAGGCTGAATTTAACAAATCATCGTACACAGTTGATTTGACACCCAGTCTGTCCCTAACTGAAGATACACCCTCTTGAAAGAACTGGTACAGGAGGGAAACAAGAGGATTTGATTGACGAATGAACGATACCAGAAGCTGGCTGACTACTGAAAGACTACGGTACATCGAGTTGGCATTTTTCTCACGAAGATTTTTCTCACTAAACATACTTAGATTGCGGACTGGACGTTAGAGCTGGGCACTGAACGATACCATTTTTGTTGATGACCAACAGGTGGGAGAAGGTGTGACCGGGTTTTCTATTGGTCAGAGGGTGGTGCCTTGTCTATACGCCAAGTATCTGTCTACGGGAACGCAAGGTGCATGGCAAGACTATGTAGTTGTTCAGGAAGAGGAAGTTTACGCGATTTCTGATTCTATCAGTGATGAGACAGCAGCTCAGCTTGTGGCTAATCCGTGGACTGCTTACGTGCTGTTGAAGACCATTGCTGCACCAAAGGGGGAATACGTCATCTCAACGGCGGCCGGTTCTGTTGTAGGCAGGTAAAGTCCAATTTCCTTAGATCTGGACGATCTAACTCTCAGTACTACCAACTTCTGATTGTATTCTCTCTGGTTTGAACACACGCTTTGAATGCATTAATATTGCGCATTATGATGGGGTCTTCCCATCTCTTTTGCTATATTAATTTGTCCACCCAGTTTTCCGCAGTGTAAGAAGTTGGAAGCTTCATCGAGTTAGCTTTGATATCACCTTCTTGATTTCACGTTAGTACTGCAACGGTGAAATTTCTGTATGACACTTTCATGCGATCACGGTGTATAGGATTGACTTTTAGAAGGAAAACAGGAAGTCATATTCATACCCAAACCGCAGCTTTCTGTGAAATTTTTTTTGATGTGAACATGCCTAGCTACATAGGCCCTTGGGCGAGTGGAACAACCGTGAACTGCAAATGAGCGATGCTCACACCTGTATCCCATCATCTACTGGAGGAACAGGTACGGTGTGTTCGAAATAGTGATTAGGTTGGTGATCCGGAAACCATGATAAAAAAGAAGATGGACAACAAAAGTTAGAAGCACTCTGATTTGTCAGTGCGCACCATAAGTGACTTTTGTTGAGATATCGCGCAGGTTGATCATCCAGCTTGCTAAACATTGGGGCATCAAAACTATCAACATTGTTCGTCATGATAAGTACACTGAAGAGCTGAAGGCATTGGGTGCAGACTTCGTGATCAATTCGAGCAAAGAAGGTACTCTTTTGCGATCAAATTTTCATCATTTCGAAGCACAGAGGATGTAGACCTTACACACTTGATTCGTGAGGATGACTATATCTTCACGTAAAACTCTGTTACTCTCCTGGACTTGAGGCTATTTAAAATACTCACTTATCACATTTCCTGGACGGCTAGACCGTTCCTGTTCACCTGCTAATTTGATTGTTCGTTCGCAGATGTCGTTGCCAAAGTTAAGGAGATCACGAATGGGAAACGTGCATATGGTGCAGTGGATGCTGTAGCCGGAGAACTCACCAAGGTACTTAACCCACTCTTCTTTCCCTTCATGTACTTACTGAAATCAGGCTAAGCGTCACTGTGATAGTAGTGATATTTATGATAGTGGTGAGATCATCAGTATTCCCAATGAAGCTCTTGAAGTCCATGCTTACGGACGACCATCTCGATGGCTGCAATCAGCTAGCAACCGGCTGGAAACTCAGAGAAATCTATAAATGTCTGAACCGTTCCTTTCTGAAGGATTCTCAAGGAGAATTGTTTATAGACCTGAGTTCTCTGAGCAGCAACTTTTTTATCTTCATGTTCGCATAGAAGCCTTTATGGTTGCCAGTGTCGATTCCAAATTGGCCATATTGCGCTCTAGATCAATGAGTTCCAATTATGAACTCCTGAGATGTATACAATGAATTTTCAAACATAGAAATGATACGCAGTCATAATCGTCGGAAGCTGAAGCTTGTTATATTCGACTGCAGCTCGTCGCTGTAACCTTCAGCGTCCCAGAAAGTTAGACTTATAGACTCTCGTTTTGACTTACCATCTGATGCTTCCTCTTTGCATGGCAGACTATAACGAGTGCAGTTCGAGATGAAGGTGAGGTCTGGGTCTATGGTGTGCTCTCGGGTTACGACATAGTTGTGGGAGTGTTTGATCTTGCAAGACTCGTGAAAGTGGGGTGGTGGATCTTGCACAGGCATACGTCCACTGTCGAGCTTAGAAAAGAAGTAGGTACAGAAGTGATCAGACTATTCGATGAAAAAGTGTGGGCGCCTTTGAGTTTTGGCAAGAAGTTTAAACTCGAAGAGTTCACAACAGCATTTGCGGAAGCAGAAACATATAACAAACGAGGAAAGATACTTCTGACCAGCTGAAATTTGTCTTCTCGGGACTCGATTTATGCTCGGGTTGTTTGTCGCAATTTTTATCTCAGCTGGTTTAGGACATGATTCACACTCTGATATTATCCTTAATCCCATAAATCCCTGGGAAACCGTGTCCTTTCAGCCCTGTACAGCTTGATGGGCTCTTCCCATCGTCTTCGCTATTTACTTGGCCCCGTTACGATTTGTACACAGATCCGACGTCAGTGCTGCCATGCCTTGTAATCCACCCAACTGAGCTTAGCCTTGTCACATCGACAAGCCCTTGTATCTTCAAGACTGCACTCAGCTCAATTGGCCTTAACTTGTGGCCCCATTATTGTATATTAAGGAATACAACGTTTATACTCTGGAGCTATTCAAGAATGCGTTCCCGTAGCTTCCCACTGCGTGTGGTCGTAGCGCTCGTCCGCCTTGGACTTGCTGCAATTTGCTGGATGAAGAAAACTGGATCGCTCCCAAACTCTAAAAAGGACTTCTTTCCTTATTTTTTGCAAAATTCTCTCGCGAGTAGATTGAACACTGGTCCCAGTCAAATAGAGGCATTAATTCTATCCCTTGAATCAGAAAATCTAGTCAAGTTTATCATCTTTATTTAACATTTTGTGGCAACATGTGAAGATTCTATTTATGAAGTCAAGAAGTTGAGAGAGATTTTCATCAATTTATGACAAAATAAATCACTCCACGCAGAAGTTGACGAAAAGTCTGATTCTCTATGAACAATGGATGAGTAATAGATTTATGAAAAGCATTGATGTGAGGTTATTTTTATTATTAGATTAATGATTATATTTAAATGCTTGGTTTAGGAAATATTAATATGTTCGAGAAAACATAAATTTAGAATTAGATATAAATTATTTTTCCAGATGTTTAATTTCATATGATAATTCTTCAACTTTAACAAATAAAAATTAGTATAAAAGCCGTTCAGGGTAAATATAAACGCACATACAAACGTATCTTGAACTCAAAGAACTCAAATTATTATTTTTATATTGGTATCAACTTGATGGTAAACTAAATTATTTTTTCATAATGTTACAACAACAATAAATATCAACATGTGTTTAGTTTTTCTTTGAATAAATTATTTATATATGGCATTTAATACATCATATATTCCAAAGCATTATCAATTATAATTCTATCGAAGTTCAAATCAGTCGATACACACAATTAATATTTTGCATGATGAATAATCACCAGCCTCAGTGTCATGACATAAGCATAATGTAATAACCCACTAAAGGCTAAAACTGCAATATAGTGGTAGAAAGGTCGAACCCACAGGGACAGAGGAACACACAGGGTACAAAGTGTCACGTTTAACATACTATTGAGGAATTTGAATTCTCAGGCGACTGTCACTCCCAGAAATACTGCAAGTGTCCACTCGGAGTGCACTCGGAGGTCGCACAGTGCAGCGTAACACACACACACACTCCTGAAACTACAGAAACACAACCCAGAGATCCGTTAGGACCTCTACTCAAGATTTCAGGGGGGAAGGTCTCTCAAGAGTCACTCAGCGAAGCTGCGGGTAGTGACTCCCAACTCCGGCTTTTACAACACTTCCACTAGCTTGCTGCTAGTGTAGGAAACCCGGGTTGGACTGCCTACTTCGGATCGAAGTCACTCATACGCGGTGAACAACACTCTCAACTCACAAAACACGCAGAGAACACAGGTCCGCACTGAAGGACTCACTGTGAAACATTCCAGTAACACAACAACAGTCTATTGAAGAGTTTGAATTCTCAGGCACTTGTCATTCCCATAAATACTACAGGGGTTACCCTGAAGGCACCTGCTGCAGCGTAACCTGAATTTACAACCAAGGCTTACACGAAGTAGCAAAACTTCACTTTGGCATTCAGGGGAAAAATAACAAAGAAGTACAATCAGGAACAAACACCCGAAGGTGTAGGGGCGAAACTATTCAAGTATCTAACTAGTCACTTGCTCTGAGCATCGGCAATCACCCGCAGGTGTAGATCCGAACTACTCAAGTCTCTAACCAATGTACTAGCTCTGAACATTCGGCCGAAGGCCTTCAGCTACAAAATGCGGAACGCCAAGTTGTAGCTCCTCTTGCGTGGTGACAGAACTAAGGACACAAACACGCAGAGAAAATGAGTTCCTGATCTGCACTTCCAAAATTGGGAAAGAACCCAAGGCAAAACGCCTTGAACTATTTTATACCTTCTAAGTCCTAACTAGCACTACACTGCACTACGCTACACGCCTGCACGGAACCACGCTACACTACACTCCGCGGAACCTGTGCTACGTCTCCTGCGCGACGGACTGCCGCACACTAACTCCCGACCCTGCCAGTCTTCCGCTCGACTGCGCAGTCCTAACCGCTGCAACGCCGCGGATACCTCCACCTCGAGGGTGGACATGGTATCCCGCGCCTTCGACAGAAAAGCGTCTAACTTCTTCGCCACCTTCCGCCGACTCCTGCTGTCACCTGCCAACAACCCTGCTGCGCGAAGCTCTAACTCACGCAGTGAGAGCTTCTCCTGCGCCGCCACTTCCCAGTGGGCGTAGCCCTTGAGACAATGGGCGACACGCCTCGCCATCTCCTCCTTCGTGCGATCTGCCTCTCGCCTGCGATCATCTTCAATTACCACCAACTGCGATTCGGCTTCCGCACGCTGCGCTCTCAATTCCCCATACTCCGACTGTAGCCTGCGGATTAAATCCTCATCCGCCTGTCGTGCGAGCTGACACTCCGCCAACAAACGCGTCTGTCGCACGAGCTCCTCTGACAGAATCTGATTCTGAGTTTGCTCAGACATCAAATCTGTCGTGGTCTTCACCACATCCCTGGTGAGCTCTTCCAGTCTCTCCTTCTTCATCCTGTCAAGGGCGTGCGATTTCCTCACAAGGTTGTACTGACCCCACAAACAGGCATGCTTCTCCCTCAAGTCCTTCAACTCCCGGTCCGTCCTAGCTAGTAGCTTGCTAGTGTGGACTTTAGTGCGAGTCCATCTGCGCACTAATTCGATGTAGGATCCCGGCTGGAGTGGATCAGCGTATTTATCAAATTTGCGATCCAAGTACTTCAGCAACGGTATCACCTGCTCAGAGAGCGCCGCCGCCGGCGCTCCAACAATTTCCTCCTCCTCCTCCTCGGTATCCCCTGCTCCCGACATTGCTTCTGTGGAGCCTCCGTCGTCATCATCCGAGTTAAGGATTTCAGTCGCCATTGATTGCGTTGGCGACTGACCCGAGTGGGGCTGCACGTCGTCTACGGATGCTGCCTGCGAAGGCACAGCTGCAGCTTCGCTGCTCTTCGCTAAAATGTCCAAGGCGGTGGGCGAATGTGGCCGTGCTACATCCCCGTCGCCCGCTTGTCGATCTTCGACCGTATCCTCTTTGCCGCCGACGTCCGCCGTCGAAGGCGATTGAGCGGAGTGTGTCTGCGAGGGGTGTGATTGTGCATCGCGCACCGGAATTTCGTCCCGCGAACAGACAGTCCGCTCCTCCGTCAGGTCCTGCCCCCTCGATCGGTCCTGCGCGAGGACTGTGTCTGGCATGTGCGCAGGCGCAAATGCCGGCGCCTTGTCCGCCGGCGGCGAAGCGCCGAAGGCGACATAGCCGGAGGCCGCTCACCCGATGTTCCTTGGCCCGAAGGCCCTACCGCCGAAGGCGCATCTACCGGCGGATTACCCGCCGAAGGTGCGGCCTCCGCACGCTCCCTGCTCGCATCTCGTTGACCCGAAGGCCCTGGCGCCGAAGGCGCAAATCGCGGCGCGTTGGGCGCCAGAGGGTCTGGTCCCGAAGGCCCGTGACCCGTAGGCGGATCTTCCGCCGGCTCCTTCCCCTTCCGACGTTGGAACGGGGGTGAATCCTGCCGGTGCGCAGGCGACCTGTGCACAGGCGAATGGCTGTGCACAGGCGGACTGCCTCTGCCTACGCGTAGGCGTAGGTCCACATCCGCTTGGGGTCGCCTTTCCGTCGAAACACGCTTGTGCGTAGGCGGAACACCCGTCCGCATCGCACGTGGTAACTCCGGAGGCCCTTGGCCCGTAGGCTGCCTCTCGTCCGTCGAAGGTGCAGCGTGGTCCGTTGCTCCTGCAGACGTCCGCGCTCCCTCGTTCTTCTCCGGCGACGCACTTACTTTCTCCGTGGCAATCGTCGCCGTGTCCGCGCTGCTGGCTGGTAACACAAGCCTGCGCGCCTTCTGCTTCGGCCGGCAGCACACTTCGTGCAACGGCCGCTGTCGAATGGGAGCAGTGGGTTCTTGATGCTGCTCCTCTTCGGACTCCTCTCTCCATCGCCGCTTCCGTGGCACTCTTGCTGCGGGAGTGTTTCTTACTTCGTCCCTCCGCCTTGGCGGAGTAGAAGTTGGCGACTCCTCTGCGTCAGTGTCGACCTCGTTATCCCGCACATACTTCCCGGGATGGTCGACGGACAACGGCGGAAAACGAGCAAGCTCCGCCGCGGTCAAACAATATCGCTGCCGATAAAAATTGATCAGGAAAGGAGAGAGATGATTTAGAGTTCCCCCCTTCTACTCAAAAGCGTGCTGTCGCATCACTCTGTGCAGGATGCTCGCCCAGTGAATTGGAGCTCCCTCAATGATGCACTCCACAAAAGAGACCTGCCACAATGTGATGTAGCAGGCGCTGTGTGGCTGCAGTAGTTGCAGCAGCGCCGTAGCCACAGTTCGGCGGAAGCGATCCTTGTAATCGCGGGTCTTGTACCCATTCTTGGTAGACCTCTCCTGCTTGAACAACTCCACAAATTGCGCCTCGTCCTGCTTAGACACCTTGACGCTCTCACTATCAAAGAGGAGTTGCCCTGGGATGCCGGCACACCTCCCCAATGCCTGCGCCCAATCTTGGACCGTCCACCGATCGACATGCGGACGCAATCCGCGCGTAGGTGGTCCCTGTGGCTCTAGCCACTCGCGCACCATATCCACTCAAATGTAGTTCCATCCCCATAGCAAGAAATTGAGCTTTCTTGCTATCAGCCGTTCCTCGTAGGCGCGCAGCCCGTTCTGTGGAAGTCGGAGCGGCAGCATCCGCAATCGGTTCAGCCTCGACATTGCATTCTTGGAATTCGCCTGTTCGTTAATTCTCCCTCTGCTCCGCTCGAGCTCCTTGCTTCCTCGGCAAACTCTAATCTCACTCAATTCCAAATCACGCGCACTCACTTCTCTCTCAATCACCAAGTAATCCTCTGCGCGGCGATGTCGGGAATGCTTAGCAGCTAGCAGATGGACGCGCGTAGCTCGCACTAGAAGATGGAATCGCGAATTCAAGAATGGGACGCTCTCCGTCTCCCGGTCGAAGGTCATGGTCGGCTCTTGCTCGTGAGGGTCGACTCAATTGATGGCCGCGCCGGCTCTACGCTAAAACGGTCTCCGCTCTCACGCGCGGCTTCACGCTTCGCCGACGCCGATTTAACTCACACGCTCGAATTGGCGAATTTGAACTCCGCGAGCGTACTACGCCGCGGACATGGGTGCGCAGCGCCGAAGGCGACTTTTCCGCCTTGCGCGGTACACTCGTTCGTACCGCTCCTCAGCCAATCCTCCTCCGCCCCGGCGCCCGTCCGCACGTCGGACAAAAATTCAACACCCGCCTGTGCGCAGGCGCTCGCCTGCGCGTAGGCAAACTCCGTCCGTGTCGCTGCGCTGGCGCGGAAGGCGTTGACCGCGGTCAACAGCCTCCGCCCAGACTGTCCGTTCCTTGTCTCTCCGTCGGCGCTCTCGCCGCCGCAACTCCGCCCGACCAAGAGCGCATCCATCCGTCCAGTCCGTACAGTCCGTACGGATTTTACTACTCTGGCGGCTCCTTGCTCGTCCGCGCCGTTGCGCTGGCGCGGAAGGCGCCGTACAATTTCTACCTCCGAAGGCGCATTTCTAGGGCCGAAGGCGGATTTCCCGCCGACGCCGAGGCGCCTGTGCGTAGGCGAACTTCGCGCCTACGTCAAAACCCTATTTCGCCTGTGCGCAGGCGAACTGCCTTCGTCCGCGCATAGGACAAAACTTTCTCCGCTTGTGCGCAGGCGGAAAGCTGAGTATCTTGTGACCTTCATAACTCCCGGAATCCTCATCCGTTTGTGGCGTTCTTGGGCGCGTTGGAATCAACACGTCGAGCTCTTTCCAACAAGTACTTAACCAAGTCGAGGCGTTTGGGGGTTGACCTAAATATGAAGTATTTGCCTACCGCCTAGGGCGCAGCGCCGAAGGCGGATTTTGCGCCTTGCGCCGAAGGGATCATACCTTCAGAGCTCGCAGGGAGGGTGGTGTACTTTCTTGACGCTGCACCCAATTACTAGATTCTACGAGTTCCCTCGAGAATCTCTGCGATCTTTCGAATTCACTCTATTTTGATGCACCTAAGGCTATTTACACTGCTGCCGTGGTACAGTTTTCCAAAAATGTTTTATTTTATTCAAAATTACCAAAAGTGGGGTACCACACATAATCCAATGTACTACCAATTGATATATCTCATGTGTGCGCAACTTAACAATTCTCAACGCCTTCGATGGATTTATGTGATTTCTATATCATATAACAAGGAATTATTCTTACAAATACTCCTTTTGACCATGCAAAAATTGACTGAAGACAAGCTTTGGATGGGTACGGCTGCTCGCAATATAGTGCTGTACTGTGCTGCATTGCTTTGACCGGGTGACCGGGTGATCAGAAGAAGCTGGTTGACTGGTTGACTAGCTGCAGGTCACGATTAGTTTGAGCACATTGAGAACAAACGAGAAAAAGAGAAAGAAAGAGGAATGCACGAGCAGAAGGAACGGAGCAACGAATTCAGGTCTTGCTACAAAGAACGTGAATCAGTGGATCCAGTTGACCTGTTAATCTCGAGGTAGAAAGAAAGTCCGGATGATTTGCGTGACCTGCGAAGTAGACGGAAGTGGCTGGTGACCAGGATCGGAGAAGATGTGGAGGAATCGCGGACTTGAAGTGCAAGAATTTCGACGAATGCGTGGAGCAATGAGGAGGGCGAGGACGAGGACGACAACTGCAGTGGGCTTGACCGAGGTCGAATGCAAGAGAGAAGATGAGGTGAATCGAAGAAGTTGAGCGGGTGCTCGTGAAGCGCAATTCGTTGGTGGTGAAGTTTGTGGAACTGAGAAGGACTGTTGGATTGCCCGAAGCCGGCGTGGATTGCAGGAGTTGGTGAGGATCATGGGTCTCGGTAGGGCTAGCGCTGGCTTGGAGAGCTTGGATTAGACTGGGCAAGGGGTGGAGGAGTCTGTCGGCCAAGATCGAAACAAGCAGTCCTCAATGGATCCGCTCTCAGATCCAATGCATCTGCTCTCAGATGCTTGGCACACTTTGCGTATGTCCGTTCAGCATCCTTCCAGGGTGCGCACCTGGGACGCCATCGTCCTGACCGCTGCGAGCCCTGACCAAGCTAAGCTCTATCAATTGCAGCTGGAACGGGCCAAGCAAGTCGGTGTCATAGCCCGTGCAACAATCATTTTAGCCGTTCCAGATCCAGGGAGCCAGAGGATCGGATCGGGAGCTGCCACACTTCATGCCATTCGCAGCCTTAGCAGCCACATTGCTTCGAACCGAAATGCATCGGAGGTACATTCTCACACAGAAGGTTGCGGTTTATTTGATCCGTAAATTCGTGACAGTCCACTTGGCTCGGATCTAGTTTCTACCCAAGTACGTAGGGTTTTACACATGCTGCAAAGCTTTGGGTTCCAACGTTTTGTTTTCAAACTTTCGATCACGTGGTAGCTTGGAGTACTTTGGCGGTAATAAAGGCTCTTGAATCTTAACAATCGTGTCTTGTCTTGCACAATGGTCATTTAGTAGCAATTGGAGGCATTGAGATGTGGGGTCTAATCACGACCATAGTTGCGCGTCTTTTTCAGGAGCTTAAGATTGATGATGTGGTACTTGGAATGCACGTCTTGCTACTTCATACCGGTGGAGATTCGAAAAGAGTTCCGTGGGCTAACTGCATCGGAAAGGCCTTCGTTCCCCTACCATTTCTTGCAGATGAGGACCCGGATGCATCAGTTCCCACCTTATTTGACCACATACTGGCTATTTCTGCACTTGCTCTCCAAGCTTTCTCAGGAAAAGGTTGTCAACAATGTCGCTCTTGCATGCTTTGTAGGACCATAGGGTCCTGCAATCCTGATGAATAATACCTGTTAGTTTATTTGTTATTGCTGCTACCTTCGATTCCCTCACGGAGTCCCCAAATCAGAATCTGTGCCAATGCGAACCGCCATCGATGCCAGACTCTGGCATTGACTAAGTCAACAATTTGTTCCTTCTCCTTAGTTGAAATGAACCTCGCGGTTTTCCTATCTGGGTAGTTTTAGTAATACACAAGGTTTACTTTATGCTGTACGAGCAGGCAAGCTCAATTTTCGTAGTCTATAGGTAGCTATATGCAAGGCGAATACAAAAGGAAGTGTCGATCGGCGACGAACAAACAACGAGGTCTTCAAGTAAATTTATTCGTTTGTTCCGGTTGCAGGTGGTCTGCTGATCATGACGGGAGATGTTCTACCTTGCTTCAATGCATCAGGGCTTGCTCTCCCTGAAGATGGAGTGTGCGTGGTTACTGTACCATGTGCACTTGATTTAGCCTCTAAACATGGAGTAATTCTGTCTTCCTCTTGGAAGAAGGGAGCTGCCCCACCAATGAGGTCCTCCTCCGGGAAAAGTGCCAACAGAAGACTCTTTCTGGTTGATGATCTCTTACAAAAGCCAAGCACGCAGGAAATGTTTAACAGGGGTGCAGTGAATAAAGCTCGAAGGGTATTACTCGACACAGGTATCTTTGCTCTGCATGGCGCAGCTTGGCAGGACATGATTCGCTTGGCTACTGTACACCCAAACCCGGTTGATGAAGTAATCACCAGTAAGACAGAAGTGAGCCTCCTAACCCGCTGCTCTTGCCTAGTAGCTTGCCCTGAATAATCTACCTCTTTCTTGGTCAAGATATGATGCTTGTCCTAGCCTAGCCAGCTGTTCCAAGTTCTTCCTGTTCATACCTGTTTCAAATTGTTGTGTTTGATCAACTTGCTCATATTGTCGTTATTCTCTGTACAATTGCTGCAGTCAGTTGGACTGTCTTTATGCAGTTAATGATGAAGTTGTGCAACATGGTATCAGGTTAAGTAAACCTGATACCATCTTTCTTGTGGCTGAACTCAATGCTACAGGTGTATTTTCTTTCTGTCATGAACCATAATTATCTCCTTAGACCTTGTCTTGCGTCGGCAGTCTGTAAGTAACAGTTTCTTTGTGGTCCAGATCAGCTTGTATGAGGAAGTGGCTGGGGCTTGGGTACCAGCACGTCACGCATGGCTGCAAGATCGTCCACTTGGCAAGACACTAATAGGTGGTCTTGGTGCCCAGAAGTTGCAGTCCTACTGTGCTTGTAGGTGATCAGCACCCACATTGATTGGTCAAGGCAGAACAAAGTTGGCTACTCTGGCCTCTCCCATTCCTACTACTGCATGTTTGGTGCATCACACTTCCTGACAGGCATGTTCTTGCCTAGTTATTTGATCACTTCAAGGTTTTCTGGTGTGCTGATTTTGTGCGACATCGCAGTGGATTTGCCAGATCAAGCGTCGTTTGAATCCTTATATAGAACTGTACTGTTGCATATAGTTCATCACTCCACGATTCTATGCAGCAAATGACCTTGTCGAAGACCGTCTGTTTTCACATTCTTCATCTGCCTATTGCAGCCTCCTTGTCAACACTCGATATAACTACCTTACTTGAGAACTGCCTCGGTGTTTTTGCAGATGAGATGAAGTTCCTACATTTTGGAACCTCCGGTGAATGTTTAGATCATCTGGCGGTAAATTATGTTGGCACTGTTGGAAGAAGGCATTTTAGCTCTATTTCTAGCCCTTCAGAAAGCGAGGTGGCTGCAACTGCAGTTGTTCTTACCTGCAATATTCTGGGAGGTGTATCTATTGGAGATGAGAGTCTGGTCTTTGACTGCACCTTTGGTAGTGGTGTGCATATTGGAGCGCGGTGTGTCGTGATGAACATCCACAGCAACTTGATCGGAACTGACAGCTCGACGCACACTGTGATAAACGTTCCAAGTTGGCACTGTGTGTGGGACGTGCCTCTTAAACGGAAGATGGACCATCGAGTTACTTTGTGTTGCGGCATCGATGATAATCCGAAGGCGCCTTATAAGCAAGGAGGAACATTCTGTAGAAAACCTTGGGTTCAGTTCATGTCCGACTTGGGAATAATGGAGAAGGATTTATGGCCTTCTAGCACAGTCAGTCAGGATTTGTGGAATGCGAAATTGTTTCCAGTAGCAAAGGTGGGAGTCAGTATTACTTTTGCTCTTTGGATGATGGGAGACCCTTCTTGGGACAAGAAAGCAATGTTAAGCAACTGGCGGAACTGCACCCGTTTAAGTTTCGAAGAGCTCCATTCTGAATTGAACTTTGATTCATTTCAATTGGAAGTGAGCAAGCATCGAGCAGAGATCGCTGCTGGATTTACTAAAGCAACTGTTATCACTGGCTCGATGGGCCGGAATCTGGCAAGGCTTTCTTTGGCAATGCAAGGAAACACAGGACTGAAGATTCTTAAAGAACTGTTGCCTCTATGTAAGCCCTCCACGATGGGTCAGGTGCCGGCCAGTAGAGCTTATCAGGCTCAATCAGATATACACATGGCGTGTGGGGATAAAAGCGCCGCAGCTGCTATAGAACCATCGATATGGCAGGCAGTCGCGTTGGAAACTGAGAGAGCCGTGGGGACCCAAACACCAGGTCAGGAACTTCAAAAATAAAAAACCAGGGTTCGAAGAAGTTGGATTTTTTCGACGGAATAGGAAGACAATTACTGGCCCGTCGACACTGCATGCTTTCTGGATGTTACAAAGTTTGAACTTCATGATATTATGACGTTTCTTGCTCACTTTTCTTGCAATTTATCGTTTGCAGGCACAGAATCGCAGTCACGGTTTGGCACTCGCTATCTAGGCCTGAACACTGGATCTCTTGGCACACCTTCTGTAAGACAAGTGAAGGTGGAGCTACCTGTGCGCGTTGATTTTATGGGTGGGTGGAGTGACACCCCACCTTGGAGTCTGGAGCGCGTAGGCCGTGTGCTCAACATGGCTGTCGCCTTAGAGGGCTCGAGCGTCGTTGGCGCTGAAGTGGTCGTGAAGGATTCCCCGGGTGTAACCTTGAACGACGACGCTGGAAATGAGGCAAGTGTTGGAGACCTGTCTGCTGTGTGCTTTCCCCTCGATGCTGAGGATCCCTTCCGACTGATAAAAGCGGCTCTTATCGTCATGGGCATCACTCGTGACGAGTTCAAAGTGGGCCTCGACATCAGGACTTGGGCAAATGTTCCTCGTGGAAGTGGGCTGGGAACTTCCAGTATACTCGCGGTTGCAGTGGTGAAGGGATTGCTAACAGTGACCGGAGGCGATCTCTCAGAAAGCAACGTAGCAAATTTCGTGCTTCTCGTAGAACAATGTATGGGCACAGGCGGTGGTTGGCAAGACCAGATTGGGGGTCTGTATCCAGGCATCAAATGCACCACCAGCTATCCCGGCACGCCACTGACATTCAAAGTCGAGCCTGTCGAATTGGGCAGTAATCTGGCGTTCGAGTTGGAGGAGCGGATGGTCCTTGTGTTCACTGGGCAGGTAAAGGCATCATCTTGCTCGGCATCATGTGGGCCTGAAGAGTGAAGTGTCGTAAATCCATTATCCAGACTTCTCACGTTGCTCCATGAACGTGAGAAGTCTGGTTTATTTACTCAGTGCATAACTTTGTGGTCATGTGTTTTGCAGGTTAGATTGGCTCACAAGGTTCTGGAGAAGGTGGTGCGACGCTACTTGCAACGAGACGCTCGTGTGATTCTCAGCATCAAGCGCTTGGCAGAGCTTGCGAAGATAGGTCAAGACACACTCGCCATTGGCGATCTGGATAAGTTTGGAGCATTATTGTGTGAAGCGTGGAAATTGAACCAGGAACTTGATCCTGAATGTAGCAATCCCTTCGTTGATAGCTTGTTCAAGATGGTTGCCCACTTAAGTTGTGGATATAAGCTCGTTGGTGCTGGTGGAGGTGGATTCGCATTAATTTTAGCCAAATGTACACAAACTTCGAAACAGATCAAAGAAATGATGAGCGAAGTTGGCTCTCCTGTGAAGGTTTATGAGTGGAAGATCCACTCTCAAGTGTAGTGTTACCACGCTTCGAAACTAATTCATTTTGCGAAGGTCCGGAGTTGCAAGCAGAACTTCGTTTACTTCAATGTTACTGGGCAATAGTATTTCTCGATAGCAGGACAGACGCAAGCCCTGCCGGTTTTTCGCTGCTAGATTTCCCTTCAACTTTGCAGTCGACTGCATTCGCAGACGGGGCCAGTTCTGAAAGCGAGGGGACTATGTTGTCTTCTATTCGTGTGTGGGCTCCTGTGCTTGTTTTTATTCCACCGTCGAGTTTTGTTCCCATCTAATTTGTCTTTCTCTTCCACAACTTGTCATTATTCATGAATAATGAATAATATTCACAATTCACAGTATCGTGCGCTTTGCTTCACGCAGTTGAGCTTCTGGAGAATTGTTGAGGGACTACGAAAGGGCAAAGCGTGGATTTAAATCCAGTAAGCGCATAAAATCCGCATGCACTCAATCAAGCAAAATAACAGCCTGGATGGGCAAGGCGATCAAATTTATTGTCACCACTGTAGTTTGACTGCAAGTGTCGATTCCAAATTTGCCTATTATCGGACGTAATCCGACGTTGACGATCCTGTCCGGTGGAAATTTGGCGGCTGTCAGTTTGCCAACCTCTTTTCACATTAGCCCGAAAGTCTGAAAGCCGACGATTCGCTTGCACACATGCTTCACACTTCGCATAGCATGTGCCAATTCTTCAGGTTACGTCAGGGAATATGCATTTCTAGGCCCGGAACACACAACTTGCAGTGTAGTTCGTCTTCGGTAGCAGACACTGCAACAGGGTGGAGTACGTGACAATCGTGCTGGGGTTTCAGCGATGTATGGCTTGATGATCGTCGATCCTTGGCGGAGCTACATACGACCGGAGAGCGCAGGTTCAGGACGACAAGCTTGCGAGACTCTGTTCCCACTTCGAGAACGACAGTACCAACCTCTTGAACAAATAGTTGGTGCGTGGGTGGGTTCCCAGCAGTTGAAGCAGTCCCTAGGCGATCTCGCAAGCAGGTGATTTAACAATAAACCCTAATCAACGACGCCCTACACGTCACACTCCGTCTGAACTCCAACTGGCAGTCCTGTTGTGCTCGCCTCCGGTGACGTTTTCATGCGAGATGGGCAATAGTGTCGATATGGTCTAAAGTTCCAGACAATCTGATCCATACCCCGCCGACCAGACCTTCAACGAGCAGAACTTAGCGATGAGTGTGTGAAGTGAATCCACGTCTCCGAGGCCAGATGAATCGAACTAAACACAGGGGCTGACGACATGCAGAGCATCGGATGTGCAAAGTCAACAACATCTCGTGCTAAAATCGAGGAACCCGACGCAGACATGGTAGAATATGGCGCATGCCGTCTTGCTGATACTGATATCTCTTTGTATGTTACAGAAATTCCCTCTCCAGATCGACGATACGCCAGTAGATAAACACCCGCAAGATTGGATCACCCGCGAGTATTCACAACGGACGACGCACTCACGCATCCCAAGGATTGCAGAAAATGAATTGCAGCCATTCTCGGAGGCCCGTGCCGCACTAACATACCTACAAACTAGGGTGTTCCGTCAAGGTTTAGAAACTCCTGCCCATCGATTTCAGCTACTGGACTTCAGACAGCGAGAAGACGCGAATACAACCAATTTCAAAGAAGAAACGCGGGCAATTGAATGAAGTGTGCCTTTTAAATTTAAATCTCAGCATGCTACCAAGATATCACTTGGCCTTGCTAGCCCTAACAATTCAAGAGATGATGACAGTCATCTTCGGCAACTGCGCATCTCACTGGTCCTAAAGGGTGAGTTGATCCTCAGATTAGCCCTTCGTCGTTCTACAAAACCGTGCCCGGAGAGCCAAAATCCACTTCCGCCTCTGAAGCGGATCGGCAAGTCTCACGGTGGCCTAGCTGCTCCGATTGAGGCTCATCCACACGGCAAACATACTACTTATCTTTAGCACCAAAGCAATGTGATTTAACCAGTGCTGAGCAGCAGAGGAGCTTGCCCGGGAGAGCTTCAGACAAACCAGAAACGAGAACATCAAGAAATGGTGCGAGAGAAGAAACGATGCGATGTGAGACTGCACTGAACAGAGAGGCACAAACAAAGAGACTGCGACCGGCAAAACCTCAACGACTTAGGCAGGCAGCTGGTGGGCGAGCCCAGGGAAGGCCGACGCGAACTCTTCACTCCAGATGACTACTCCATGACAGCAGTACCTCCCACAGCTTTGATCTTCTCAATAATTTGAGTGGCTTCCTCTTTGGTCACGCCCTTCTTCAACACGGCAGGGATTTTCTCCACGAGCTCTTTGGCCTCCTTCAGACCCAGAGCCGTGAATGTCCTCACTTCCTTGATGATCTTAATTTTCGCTGCTGCTTCGAATTTCTCCAGCTTCACATCGAAAACTGTCTTCTCGGGCTTCTTCTCCTCGGGAGCTGCTGCGGCGGCGCCACCTCCTCCAGGCATTTGCCCGGGCATCATGCCGCCCATCATCATGCCTCCCATGGGCATGTTAGGCAAACCTAATTTTTTTTTTAAAAGAGTGGTCAGATCCGAAACCTCTAAGAGCGTGAGGGACGAAATTTCGTCCACGAGTCGAAGGATCTTTTCCGAAGGGGGAGTTCTCGCCTCTGAGGGATCGAAGTCCGGATCATCACTGTTAACAGGTTGAGCTCGTAATCTTGGACCTGCATTGGCAGACGAATGGAACTGCACTGCAGATTCACCCAGCGCTACTACATCGGGACCCCCCACCCCAGCCCAAGCTCGCACGCCTACTCCTCTCGCATTCAGTCTCTCATTGCTCCCGATTGGCGGCGTCGCAATCCTGCGCGACCGGTAATGTCGACACAAGGAGGCGACGGAGCGAGGCACAATTCGACTCATAGCCGGCGCCTAGGCACTGCCGAGCTCCTCCGTCTTACTGGCCCAGGCCAAAGCTTTCCCCACCTTTTCATGTGCCTTTCCCCCACCCCGCTGTCTGCATCACAATCGCCTCATCATCGTCTCTCGCCCTGATTCCAATTCTCCATCCCAGCCCCTGTTCTCCTCCTCCTCCTCCTCCTCTTCCTGCTGCTGTCGCCCCCAGCTGGATCGAGCAAAATGAGAAGATTCCTGGCGCGAGTGTCCTGTTTGTACTCCTCTACGAGCACAGAGAGTTGACGCTGTCCTCCTCCTCGGATCGTCGTCCTCCTCCTCCTCCTCCTCCGCGCTCTCGTCGAATTCCTTCGTCCGTCGGTCGCTCGGTCGGTCGCTCGGCCCGTCTAACCCGCTGCCCCCGTCGGCCTCCTCCTCCTCCTCCTCTGCCGAAGCTCTTCTTGTGCCCCACCTAAACGCGCCGCCTTCTCTTCGCTTGTGCACCTGAGCTCCAGCGCCCAGGACCCTAACCATAGTTAATCCGCCCACCCTAACCACACCCACCCGCCGGTTACTTTTCTCGCTCGCTCTCTCGCCTCCAGGTGCCCCGAGCGGCCAGCCCTGCACAGCCCAACATTGGGTGCCCGTGGGTTTCATATTTTTCATGGGTGGGTATCATTTGCTGGTGGGTTTGAATGTGCATAGCAGAGGCCAACTTTTTACTTCAAATCTGCACCCAATCCTAATCCCACCCTTGCTATGCAAATTACGCCAATTATTGGTTGGATCTTGACAAATATTGCCCTCAGCATTACTTGTGCACACCCATGGAAAAGTAATGTCAACCCAAAACCCATGGGCATGGGCACCCAATGTTGGGCTCTGGTGCATAGCTTCCAGATGGGTACGGAACCATGTTCATCAATATTATTGATCCAACCAATAGGTTAATACACATTACACAAATTTTGAATATATGGGCGGAATTTGATTACAATGAGTATGCACATATATTGCTATGGGTGGGAATAGATCGTTTCTTATGGTTATGGTCTGGGTACAAATTTGAATTAAAATGTTGGCCTCTTCAGCCCAGCCCGTTCTCTGATCCTCGTGTTCCTCCCTCCCTCGACTGTGGTGCTGATATTTGGCAGCGTCCATCCGCCCCGAAGTTTTTTTTTCCCATTGCTTCATGTCGATACCAGAGCCAGGAGAAAAAAATTTCTTCCCTTCGTTCGGATGCTTCTCTTCTCCTCGAGAGATTCGATTCCGATTTCTTTCCATGATTTTCTCGGTTGTGTTCACAGCACAACTTGTCGCTAGGGTTTGAACTCGCAGAAGTATCTTATATGTATTAAAGATTATAAGCTCCACTGCTCATCTTTGAACATAAGTGCATACGTACATGTACGATACTTCGATATTGTGTTGAATATATTACACACTTTCTGTATGCGTTTTGAGACCTTCTCTCTTGACAACACGTCCGTATTTAGATATGATTTGTGTGTGAGATGGTTGTTTTTTGTAATTATTTGAATGCTTCTGAATTTCATCTGTTGCATATTTGTATTTTAAGAAGTTGAAAGCAATGTACAAAAAAGTGCTGCAAGTTGATGGCAGATTGTATTCCAATCCATTAGTCAATTCCATTCGATAGAAGTTAATTGTGAAGTATATTAGTGGATTCTTGAAATGAGCAATCAAGACTTCTTCACCTTAGCAACAGCGCTCTATTTCTATACTTTTTTGGATGGAACCTACATGTGAAGAATATTAGTGGATTGTTGTAATGAGCAATTAAAGCATCTTCATATTAGCAACAAATTGAGTAGTCGTTATTGGTCACAATGAATCTCATAATGAATGTACAGAAGAATATGCAAGTTACATAATGTACTCTAAGGAGATGACGTGGCAATATCAAAGATATTTCATATGCTCATATTCTCTACAACAAACTTAAGACATTTACCATAAGAATTTGACAAGCTATGATGAAAATGAGTTTTATGAAAGGTTGATATGAGCAAATTATATGTATTCAATACACAAAAATTACATATAATTGGTGTAGTCTTATTGTTCTCCTACAATACCGATGATGGAGATGATTATCATTTGAGTTTCAACTTTAACCTATGAGCAAATAATTTCAATTCATGTGAAAACAACCCATGAATATAGCTTGATGAAAATTATACAATATTTGTCTGCCTACAATGATAGAAACTTATAATAAAATATGTTACATTCGATATATAAACTTCAAGTAGTTCATACAACCAACATTTGTATTTAATTTGAAAACGCTAAATCCTAAATCTTTCACATAAGTGTATGAATTGGGAAAAATCATGATGAAATAACACAAAAAGGGAATTGATTTATAAAGTTGAAAACATTGATATTCAAACAAATAAAGAAAGAAATTTAAAGTACAAGAAAAAAAGAAAGACAAATCAATAAATAATATTTAAATCATTTGACTTGTGTTATGTAATAAAAATTGCAAAAACGAATTTATTTTGAAAACTATATGATTTCAAACATATATTATCGTACCATTCAACTTCTTTTAACACATAACAAGAAATTTTCATTTTAAATTCCATAGTAGGTAATATTACTCAACAATGTTGATGTAACGTCTTAATTTTTTAATTTGTAGAAATAAAAAATTTGCAAGTTAAGATAAAGAAAATGATCAACAAGCTAATTTTGAGAATAAATGAGATTTCAACTAGTTTTGTAAATTTTCATTGAATTTAAATTTTGATCAAGTCTTAAGATAAAATATATATGATTTAGAATGAGCCATTAATTTTTTAATCATTCTATATAAATAAAAATGTACATGAATTTACAAGAATGACTAAAACAGATTACAATAAATTATCAATAATAACATTTAAATACTAAGAAGTAGAAATATAATTATGACTACAATAATATCTTTCATCCATATTTGAATTATTTTTGGGAGTGACTAATCATTCCTTAATTTATACTAATTATCGCTAATCGTATAGTTTGCAACTGCAAAATCTAACATTATGCCCCATTTGTTTTCAACGATCACACTGTCCTTATCAATGTTGTTAGTCCTCATTGAACTCAAACTCAAAAGAAGTCATGCATATTGAATAAGTAACTCGGCTGTGAGTTGGTACACTTACAATCTTTCATATCTCAACCGCATAAACTGCTTTAACATGATCAAGCATCATGCGTTGGTGGTGTGGAGTCGCATGGAAGTATTCATTAACTACTATTCTTATACTTTGATCAATCACATAACTTACTTCTTAAGCAATCTATATAATTTTTGCATGACAAGGAAAAATTAGCATAAACAAAGTTAAAACTATACACTCCCATGTTTTTTATAATGATACAAATTAATCATGAAATCTTTGAAGTCAAGAAAACTACTTCATTAAATCTAAATACGTGGATTATGTCATAACTAGAATTATATTTTTTTGATATTTTTGTTAGCATAAAAAATATATTAATCTTTTATTATATTTTATTATTTCAATAATGCAAATTTAAATCTTAAAATTTGATATTATTGTTTTATAAAGTTTGTAAAATATTCAGATACAATCACTATAATGTTAAAAAAAGATGATTCTATAAAAAAAATTCAAGTTATATATATATGATTTCAATTTTTTGTATAAATGATATTGTGATATTATCACATTTTTATTTTATTTTATTTTTTAAAAAATAAAGTAAGTAAATATATGATTCAATATCAATGTTAAATTTTAAAACAACTTCAATATTATAATTTCAAAAATTTAAGCTTGATTTTAAGCAAATGGTAAATGATATGAGAGAAAAATTAAAACATTCATGAATATATGATCAAATTTTATTTTCATGAGTAATCAATACAGTGAAACATCTACATAAAATACACCCTTTTTGCTTCAATTATTTTTCATTTTATACCTTTAAGAGTTTGTTTACCTAGTATGGAATATGTACTCTCCACAATTTCATTGAAATTCTATTACTAAAAGTTAAAAAAACTAATTGCAAGCCAAAACATTACCTTATTACAAGATTCATTCAAAATAACGTTTGCTAGATGCTTGCATCAAAGATAAAATATAAAGAGTTTGAATTGTAGCCTTATATTTCAAGAAGTCAAATTTATAGCGGATTAAAGCAATGAGATGCATAATCATATCTTTTTCCTGCTCATTTGAGACAACAGTCAGTTTTTCACACACCTCAATTTCTTTCGATCAATAATTATGATATATTCTACATATTCTTAGACATTAGCATACTTAAACTCATCAACTAGTCATGTAACAAGGTACAATCTAGAACAATCTCAAACTTTAATAATTGCTCTTCAATGACAAGGTTGTCTTTTGAAATTCTAATTTTGTTTACAACTAATGTGAGATACTCTTTTGCATCTGTTGTAAACATCCTTTTTTTCATAAACGTTTTGATCATTACGTCATCTTGAACAATTAACACATTGAAACTACAATTCTTAAACATTTGTTAATTGTATTTATTTTCATCATTTTCCAAATTTATCCCAATAACTTGATAGCGTTTAAAACTGTCAATTTTGTATGCTAGATTCAAAGAATAAATCTTATTTTGTATTGTTTCTGAAAGAAAAATAATAACATCAACTTTACTTAGCAATGCTTTGAAAGCTTAGATGATTTGAGCATCAAGTGATTGCAAAACATATGATAGATTAAGAAGAAATTATTGAAGTTTAACATTTGGTCGATCGGTTCCTTTGTCTAGAAGATGAATCGGCGTAATGTCTGAGAAGAGACTAATTTTGTGATCTTTTTTTTTTGAAGTACTTATCTATGTACCTCACATAAGCAGACAATGCAAAAATTTGAATGACAAGTCATTCAAATTTTTGCACTGTTTGCATAACTCATCTTTGGTTTTTTTTGTACATAATTCATCTTTAGATTTTTTATATCCACTACACACAATCAATGAAGATTTCTTTACATTTCAATGACAAAGAAAAAACAAATTTTTTTCACTCATTGCAGAATAAATCAAATTCATTGATATTTTATACTTTCATTGTTTTCCTCCTTTACACGATTGAATAACATGGTTCAATCATGTTGAACATGTATCTCATACCGTATTATGCCAAAGATGTTGCTCAAATCAACTTGCATTGTTTACCACTGTCAAAATTCATAATCCTTATCTCAAAACAGATCTTATAGATCCTCACTTTATTCCATTGCTTCCATTTTAGTAGCAAATCTCTTGATGAAAAAATTTGCCAACCTCCATTCCCAATTGATACACAATATGTTTGACTTTCTCTTGGAGAATATGACCACTAATTCAATATATTCATGCCTATGTTCTTGCGAACCATCTTCACAAAATAATGTTAATATCACTATACTTCACAATACTCACTTTGTACAACAAAGAAT